ATTATATTTACATATTATATATAGTTTTTATATGTTATACTTAAAAAATAATCTCAAAGTAATTGATAGTCAAATATTTGTAGAATTTTGTTATAAATCACTTTAAAACTTACCAGTAAATAACGTATTGAATCAATTAGTGGTTCATTTTTAAAAATGTAAAATACCTCAATTTCCATTATTCTTGTTTCACTGCTATTTTCTCATAATTCTTTAAAGATCACTGATATTGACTTTGATCACATCAAAATTTATCTCTGGAGGTCTAGCATACCATTTATTTAGATTTCAAAATATGAATGCATTTTCATTGGGCAATGTCCTCTCAAATTTCAATACACTCTTTTAGGGTTTGCTTTTATTTTCTGTTTAATTCTAACATTCTTACTGATAAAGATAAAAGGAACTCAACAAAGCATCTTTATTTATTTTAATTACTAGCATAGCAGTCTTTAAAGTGTGGTCCCTTGTCAGGATTAACTGGAAATTATAAATTAGAAATGCAAATTCCCAGTCCCCGCCCCCCACTGCCTTAGAAACTTTGGAGGTGGGAGTGGGGTGACTCCCAAAGATAGGGATTTTAAAAGCCCTTCAGGTGATTCTGATGCATGTTCAAGTTTCAAGATCCATTGTGTTCTGTTAGAATTACACTGAGGCAGCAATGTACATTGTTACTGTAATGTCTTAAGGAGAAACGTGCTTAGTATGTTTCTTAGTTATTGTATTTTCTGTTTTTATGACATATTTAGCAGAAGAAAAAAATTGGAAAAAGTATAGTGAAAAAAGCAGTTAAAATGTTTACAGTGTAACAAATCATAAAATCAACCGACTAACCAACTCACAGTGTGGAAGCATTTTCCTCAGCACTTTGATGAGCTCTGAAGGCCATATGGAAGAAGTATAAATTACAGTCTATGCTACCTCAAGGGAACTAACAGGGAATTAAGCTTTTCTTCTTGCACAAGAAAAATGCGTTAAACAAGCAATGGACATTATACGATGTGCTATTTTTGTGATTTAGACTATAAGTGCTTTAGGAGTTAAAAGGAGAGAAATAATATAGACAATAGCAGAATCATGAAAAACATTTTCAAGAAACAAGTACTTGATTCAGGTCTAAAACACAGCTACAATTTTATTTGGTAGATAAAATAGAATAAGATGCTTCAATTTGGGAGTGGAAAGTATAGAAACAAGAGAATGAAAGATCTAGGTAAAGCTGTGGAAGAAAAATCATTGTGATTTTAGTATTATATTGATGTGGGAGTAGTGTAAAAAATTTGAGCTAGGGCTATTAACTTTATATTTATAATTAAGAAGTGGGGAGTATGGATGGCTTTATGGACTTCTGTTATATCTCCTACAACTGAAAAAAATTTTGTGGTGTGTGTATGAATGCATTTGCATGTGTATAAAAATGTTTTGTTTCCTCAGCTTTTATTTTAGTCTCACAGAAGTCTAAGACTTTTCTCCAAATATACCAACCAGTGGTATTAATCTTGAGACCTTTCAAGGTTACACTATTTTAGGGGATCATAATAGACCAGTTCTCAAGACTTGTGCAATGAATATATTTAGACATTAGAAGGTAAATGTAGTTTTCTGTCAATGACACTTTATTTGAGGAAGATCACCATAACAGTCTTTTCTAAGAGTAGTGAGAATAAAGCAACTTGGAGAGAATTAAATTATTAAAATATGGAAACTTCAAGTCTTTAACAAGGTTTATCATTTGGGTATTCCTATTTCTTGATTAAGAAGACCCTTGCAATTAACCTCCTAAATGCTCCCTTTACATCTTTGTTCCTAAGTGTGTATATAAGGGGGTTCAACATGGGTGTGATGATTCCATAGAAAAGGGACACCATCTTTCCCCGGTCCTTGGAGGCAGAGGATGGTGGTTGCAAATACATATAGATGGCAGTGCCATAAAAAAGTGACACCACAATTAGATGGGAGCCACATGTTCCAAATGCTTTTCGTTGACCTTCAGCTGACTGTATTCTCAACACTGCTTGGACAATAAAAGCATATGATATAAGAATGAGTGCCACAGGTATTAGAAGAAATAGCACACTGATAAAGAACAGTTCAGCCTCATTTGCTGTTGTGTCTGCACATGACAACCTGAGCAGAGCAGGAACTTCACAGAAGAAGTGATCCACTTCTTTCTGGCCACAAAGCGGCATCTGAAGCGTCAAAGTGGACTGCAATACTGAGTTGCTGAAGCCACTAATCCAGGATGCAGCTGCCAACTGGAGGCAGAGCCTTTGGTGCATGATCACTGAGTAATGGAGAGGTCGACAAATAGCTACAAACCTATCAAAGGACATGACAGCCAGAAGAAGACATTCAGTGGAACCCAAGGCCAGGAAAATGAAAAGTTGGGCCACACAGCCACCATAACTAATTACTTTCCTGGTGTTGCATATGTTTACCAGCATTTGTGGAACTGTACTTGTCGTGTAGCAAAGGTCCAGGAGTGAGAGATTGGTAAGGAAAAAATACATGGGGGTGTGGAGTTTGGAATCCAGACGTGACACAAGAATTATTGCCAGATTGCCAAAGATGGTCAAGATATAGGAAACCAGGAACACCACAAAGAGTGGAAGCTCCAGCCATGGTCGATCTGAGAAACCCAAGAGGATGAACTCCTGTGGGATGCTCTCATTTACTTGATTCATTTTAAATAGTTCAGCTCTTGGTTCCCTGAAATATAAAAAGTCAATAAGTTAATAAACACGTATTTATTTATTCTCAGTTAGTTATAATCATTTTGCTAACAATTTGCATAAATTTACAGACTGATGCTATTAATAATGTGAAAAATGTGTTGATAGAAATATAAAAATTTATCTTTTCAAGTATTTCAAAAGTGTTTCTATATAATAGCACATTAGCAAAATGAATTAACAAATTTATAAAGTATATCCTCAGTTTCCACATTCACAGAATTTATCTTTCGATCTTTTGTTATTTTGTAAGTTCATTGTTCTCACTTCTTTCCACCGAGATCTCTGCTATTAGGTAGATGTCGACATAGTTCCTGTCATTTGAATTCATTCTAATTTCTCCTTAATGCCAATGAGATTACCATTTTGTTTGAATGAGTTAAAACTGTTTAAATCTCATTCCTCCACCCCTGAGGAAAAAAAAGACAATGTAGACAGTATCTAGTAAGTTATCAGACACAATTTAAGGAGATATATATTTTTCTTTTAGAAGCTCAGAATTCTTATTTAATAACACGGAATTTGAAGTCTAACAGGCCTGGGCTCATATCCCTACCTTGCCTATGTAGTCACATTACCCTGGGAACGTTTCTTGTCCTCTGATCATCAGGCTTTTCATTTGTGAAATGAAAATAATCCTGCTTTTCTAAGTTGTCTTGATGTGATGCATAAGTGATGTGAAGCATATATGCACACTGCTTAGTCTAGACTCTGGCCCTTAAAAGCAGAGAACTGTGAATGAAAGAAACTATAGTGATTCAAGGTCTCTGAGGTGCTCAGAGCATCATGATTTTTAGAACTTTAAATTTCCTAGGTTTACCAATGACAAATGGCTCTGCCAGTTGAAAACTCACCTTCCCATTTCTTCCTTAGCCCCCAAGCCATCAACCCCAACAAGAGGGATTATGGTAACCACCTGCTATGAAATAGAAATGTGATTTTTAGCGTAAATTGCCTGGCATGGTGCCTGGCACATAGAAACACAGCCACGTCAGTGAAAGTATGATAGTGATGTAGGGACTCTGAGATGCTTTGGGCAGAAGCTATTCAGAACCCTGCATTAACTAGAGGTAGTAATATGTCAGCTCTATCTGCGAAAAATGTATTCATCCCCAAGAAATCTTAACAGGATACTCTGAATTATTTTATTATTTTATCAATATGAGAATATAAATTTTTCGTTATTATTCACGTTCATCAAAATGTTAGCAATGTGTCTTTTAATTTTGTTCTACTTATTCTAAGACTGTTAGCCACTGAAAAATGTCATCTTGCTCTCATCTGATAAATTTGAGATACATAGTCATAGATATAGATATGAAATTATGTTTAAAAGTATTTTTATGTGAAGAAAGGCAGTAACTGAACATTTGTATAGCATGATCCCATCAATTTAAAAGAGGAATAAAATATTTTTATATATATAAAAATATATATACATAAAATATATATAAAAGTTCTAATATATAAATTCAAAGTTACCTTGAAGAATACAGAAGAAAGCGCTACCCCCGGGAAATGGGGATGAGTCAGAGTAAAGCTGATTTTATTCGTAAGTTTACCAGTTTTTTTGTTCTAATTTTTAATAAGCAGACATTACTCTCGTAACATATTTTCTTAAATCTCCCCACTCACCAATTTATTCTCTGCATTTTACTCTCAGACTAGCACTGCTTTAGTTTAAGACTTCAATCCCCATAAGAGTACAAATCTTCAAAAGAAATTTAATTTTTGTTAACTCTTCATACTTGCTTAAACTTAAGTCTGAATCTGCAAGGAGCTTTTCTAACGGGTGGATTGTGGAAGTATTTTGTATCTAATTGGCCAAAAAACTGTTGCTAAGGAATGGAGAAGTCAGGCAAAGCAGGATAAATGGCATCAGTAAAGAGAGGTTTCACATACTTCACGGTTTCCTTGAGTTGCACAAGTATTGAACAGCTCTCCTCAGGTCCATGTAATTGGGGTGACTGAAATGCCCCAGTTTACCCAGGACTGCTGAGTTGACTTCTGCTGTCCTGACAGTTTCTTATAGAGCCGCTTCCGTTCTCAGAAGTCTTCCTGTTTGGATAAGATCTAAGTTCTCTCTAACTGCAATGTTGAAGAGTGAAACAATCCTTACATTATTGCTCAGCAGGAATCTCATCATTGACGACATTGCATCTGTTTTCTCATCTAACATGGGCCAAAGGCCTTTCCTGACCTACCTTAGATCTGGTGTTTCCTTCTAGAACGCAGCCAAAGACTGCCTCTCTAAGAAATCCTCTCTGCTCAAGATTATAGAAGGAAGGAATCAGCTAATTTTTTTTTTAATCAACTGACTCCCTCACTCTGAGATTCAGTACTTACGAAAGTAATAAACTGCCTTTATCATCAATGTAATATATTAATTCGTGTATTCTGTTATATGTAGTATCTTCCCATGTTCTGTACTCAGTGAGGGCCCAAGGAGGGAGAAAATTACTTATCACTACAGCAGGAAGCACTGGAGTAGAATGAGGAACAAGAATGATGAGGCCAGAAAGCAGCAAGCAGAAGAAACTGGGATTTTCAGAGCAACGAATTCTTATATTCTGCTTTACTCATTTTTTTTTTTTCACGTTGACTCATCTCCCAAATACACAGTAACCTCAAACATTTATCCACTCTTAAAAGTGTATCTTTAGAGTCAATAGTTGTTGGGGCTGGCCCAGTGGCGCAAGCAGTTAAGTGTGCATGCTCCGCTGTGGTGGCCCGGGGTTCCGCTTGCTAAGCCATGCTGTGGCGGCGTCCCATATAAAGTAGAGGAAGATGGGCACAGATATTAGCCCAAGGCCAGTCTTCCTCAACAACAAAAAAAGAGGAGGTTTGGCATTGGATGTTAGCTCAGGGCTGGTCCTCCTCACAAAATAAATAAATAAATAAAAATAAATAAATAGTTGTGATAACAATGTGTATTTTACAAGTTTTTTTACAAGGAGAATTATTTTTATTTATTTATTTTTTGTGAGGAAGATCAGCCCTGAGCTAACATCCATGTTAATCCTCCTCTTTTTGTTGAGGAAGACCGGCCCTGAGTTAACATCTATTGCCAATCTTCTTCCTTTTCTCTTCCCCCAAAGCCCCAGTAGATAGTTGTATGTCCTAGTTGCACATCCTTCTAGTTGCTGTATGTGGGACACGGCCTCAGCATGGCAGGAGAAGCGGTGCATCTGTGCGTGCCCAGAATTCTAACCCAGGCCGCCAGTAGCGGAGCACGCACACTTAACCACTAAGCCACAGGGCCAGCCCATACAAGGAGAATTGTTTTAAAAAAATATGTAACTATAATATATTTAAATTGGATCAGCAAATTTATTTGTTGGAAAATTGGACTACTATTTGAGGTCTGTGTGTGTGTGTGTGTGTGTGTGTGAGAAAGAGAGAGACAGAAAGAGAGAGAGCAAATGAGATCTGGGTTATTAGAGCATTCCACACCAATAGAATCTGTAAAGAGCAAAATATATAATAAATTCAAAGCTGAACTTCATGAATTGAATTAAAATTTTGCAATAGGGGGTATTCAGCCACATGAAATCAGTATAGGGAGTTTTTCAACATACAAGAAAAAAAATTGGTTTCAATGTAATATCAAAACAGCACATCTTGCAGCAAGTATATAATTTGTGAAATAACTGGGTAATTAATAGAAAAAAATTTGAGAAGTGCATGAAGCTTGTTCATCTTTCAAAAAATGTAGCTAAGATGGCATATGGTAGAATGTAATGCATTTCTTCTCTGTGGCTTTGAATGTTAATTTTATAAACTATTCTAGTTCATCCAATTTGTAAACCTAAATATAAATTTCAATTCACAGGAGAATTTTTGACTTAATGCCATGTTTTCACTGCTTATTTTTTCAAAATTAATATGAAGTGTAATGGAATATTTCCTAAAATTTTAGAATGCCTTCACCTTTTAAAAATGTCTTTTTATCTTCTTTCCTCCCTCACTCAGTATTTTCCTAATATAGGTCATACTTTAGGAACCATGCTAGTTACCTTTCAAGGCCACTGTGTATTTTACTTCTGATATAACCTTATTGTCTCAAAATTTGTTATTTTCTTGCCCACATACTCCAAACCTCAATCTCACAGAATTTCTCCCCAAACGTGCCAATCTCTCTGGTGCTGCTGCACCAAAGGGCCCTACTCAGATATACCCTTCTCTAAAACAACATCATCTGACCTCTGCTGAGTTAATTCCTCCTAGAAGTTTTAAGTCATTTGAGTTCTGATTCACATCTCCAGGATTAGAATTGAACTATTTGTTAACAACTACAACAAACAAACAAAAACCTAAGAAGTCCTTATCTGTGTCTCTGAAATTATATCAGATAGGCTCCTGATTACTTACTTACCTCTTAACAACTGTGCCAACTGCTGGCCATTGTGGCTAATACCTTAAAGGCCACTGAGTAGATCTCTCTGCTTTTGAGTAAAACTACATTGCCAGTATCTCAAGATAGTGTTACTCTCATTTTGAATAACATTCAATTGGGCAGCAAAACAAAACACTTTAATTATGTGAGATGTCAAAGGGATCAGAAAGGGAGGAAGGCTGGGTTAAAATGGAAGTTAATGGAAGGAGAGAACTGTAGAAAGCTGCTGATGGGATATTAACATATTTTATGTGTGATCATCTTAGAATATTTTAACCCATAGTTTAGAATACTTGCCTAGATGAATACACATCATCACCTCCTTTTAAACTTGTATATTGGTTGACCTAATATCTGTCATCTCTCTATTGAATTCTCTCATTCCATACCTGAGCTTGAACATTCAAAAAGATAAGGTTCAACAGAGTCTTGGAAGCATCTTTATAAGCTGCACTATGGAAAGAGTATCGAGACAAGAGAGGTAACAAAAATCTGCCAGCAAGTCATTGTATAATTGGGCAAATTAATTAGAATTTCTGGATGTCAGTTTTATCTTCTGTAACATTATGGGGTTGATATTTTCCTCTCAGCATAAAAACCGTTTACTTTTAGGTTTTCTCTAATTAT